CCCCGTAGTTCTAGGTTTACCTAGGTTGCAATGCCACGTTTCAACTAATGGTTGGAGACCCGGGTCAGCCTGTTACAAAGGTGTTTGGTGTAGAGAATAATATGGGCTTACTTAAATGCCGAGTAATGGCTTAACATACAGTAAGAAAGCATTGCGACATTAAAGGATACTCGGCTTCAATATTTATCTTTGAGGTTTTTCACCCCTTTGTCGGCTTATTAGATGAAAGAAGGGTTCCGAGAATATTGGCCGTAGTAGGGGCACAGCCCTGATTTGTCGGAGGGGAGGGCATTGGTTCATCGGTAGGTACACCCTCAGCACTGAGTTTAGTACTGTATCCGAGGAGTGTATACGCCGCAAACGTACAACACTTGCCGTATCAAGAGTTACTGATCCAGTAGGTGCAGCATCGGGTTTGCCGGTAGATTCAGTGTATTTTGCATACAACGATTCATCAAAGGTTACACCTCTACTCCTTAATATTTAGAAGCTTTGGGGCCCCAGATTTTGTAGCAATATCTCTTCGGGTCTAGACAGTAGAAAAAAAACATTTACTGCCCCAAGTTTTCTACGCGGAATTTAGTTAAAAGTATAAGCTCTCGCTCCAAAAAGAATAAAACTCTTCATGTCCGGCTTTTGTGAGTGTATTAACTGACAAGTAGTAGAGTGGACGTAAAGACTGGTTCTTGGTCAATTCATGTTTGCGCACTGTATTATAAAGCTTCTCCCAAAGGTATTTTGGTAAACCAGAATCAAAAGCATAGCTCTCACCATGTGAGATGTAGTCTGATTATTCCTTTTAGCAATTCCACTGCGCTGTAGGGTTATGGATTATAGGTAATATTTATACCTCTAGTGGTTAATCCGTCAACGAACCTTCGGGATAAAATTCCTTTGCATTGTGGTAATGTAGAGTTACCTATAAATGAGGCCTATTACACCATCGACGTGGTCAAGCATAAACTTAGAAGCATCACTCTTTTGCCTCAGAAGGTACCAAGAACCTCTCTTGTGAAAGCGCAGACAATAGACAAGGCTTACCTATAACCACTGTAAGCTGCAGGATTTATTGGTCCTACTATATCGAAGTACACTACTTCATAAACCCGTGTGGTATTTAACGAGTTTTCCTGCGCAAAGTACAGTCGTCGTCCCTTAGCTATTTGGCAACATTCACCAACAGTAAATTCTTCGGTTTCGTGATATGTTAATTATCGGCGGTATTGTTTTTGAGCATGCTCACCAACTAACGCCTCGAAGTACGTTCAAGGCGCCTGTCCAAAGATCCAAGGGAACGTCGGTATGTGCGTAACCTATGAAATTACTCAATCCTCCTCATAAGCGATTATTAATTACAATGGGAAGATCTGCCCATTGCCGCTTATGGCTCCTCTGCCCTTCTTGCAAAGGAGAGAAATTTCTCTAATCTTTTGCAAAAAAGCACACAGTCGGCTGTCTGCTGGGGAGTGTCCTGATCTCGAGCACTTCTGGCACTTTGGACAAAAAACACATCGAGTAACTGTTGTTACAGATCCAAAACACGCCATTGGGTCCTCCTCTTCTCATTCTCTCTCTTTCCTCGCGTCCCGTCCCAGCACCAAGCACAGTATTCACATTGTCAACTGGTCAGTCATTTTAAGTCCCTTATCAAGGGACTCCGTAACAGCGCTTAGAATGGAAGGCTCAGGTGGGGAGTATATAATATCAATGGCGTTGGATTATTCGTTGGTAGACCGCTTAGAAATGCAATTAACATGTCCTTGTCGCTAATAGGGAGCCCATTGGACAATGCAGAACATTGAGACGCTATCTTCCTCGCATCATTCGCGTCTTCCTTATACTTGGGTAGTATGAGAGGCTCAAGTGGTACAGTTTCTGCTTGATTGGAATCCACTTTGGGTCGATTTTCTCTCGTACTGTAAAAGAAGCGATTCTTATGCTTTATGTTGGGTATTTGTGGTGAGTACGTGGCTAATAGTCTGATCACCAAGGGAGAGCGTAAGGAGGCTGGCAGCTCGAGCTGACTGTTTTGCAAGCACCGCATCTGCCGTTTGAGACTAGGCCCCTTCAAAAACCCCGTTGAATTCATTTACAGTAGCCAGTACAAGGAACCTTGTCTTCTAGTCTAGGAGCTATCAAGTTCATCCAAGTTCGTATATGCTAAAAATTCAGCAGAGTTCCCGCGGGAAACTTGAAGGAAAGGGTTCCCAGAGCGTAGGTCTAAAAAGACACGGGCTCTGGGGCATAGGAACTTGAAGAGGATTGGGGACTAAAAAAGGGAACTTCCCGACTTCGACCTGAAAAATTGCCGAGAGTAGAGCAGCGGACTCTAAATCTGACGGAGAAAAAGAGAGGAGAGATCAGTTATTGTCCCGTAGAGGAAGTGAATTTATACCATCAGGGGGGGGAGATAAACGTACAAAAACGTGTGCTACGGCACGTTCAATAACAAGTGGTATGAAGCTCATTTAGCCACGTGGTAGGGATATGCGGTTAATAAACACATGGCATATGTAGCACGTGCTAACGCGATTCCTCGGAGTTAACACGAGATTAACCTTGTGCGCTGATCTCAATGCTTGACTTTCTGTCATGACCCCAGAGCTTAGTATTGAACCACACTTTCTGCTTAGTCCAGCTAACTTGTTCTTCTTTACGGCGATCTTTAGAGTTTTACAGTGAATAGGAAAGACATATTCGGAAAGTATTTAAAACTTCGTCATCTATTAGTATTTTATCGATCATAACTGGCGTATTTAGAACTCCATTTCGAACGTAATGTCTGGCATGCTGGTATTTCATACAAGACAGACGAAACTTTTGCATTCATGTCACCGTCTGGTTGTGATTGTACGCAATGATGTATATTACTGAGATCAAATAAAATACAAAATTAAAAACTAGAATAAATATATATATGCATTACTAGGGGTTAATAGTTTAATGCTATGAGGTGGTTTTGCCGCCTATGAAGGACAATTTAAATTTTCTTTTAAAAATGACTAGTTAATTTATTTATTTGTAAATAAAATTTTCTGAAAGCCCTCAAACAGGAATAACAGTAATAAGGGTGGTGTGCGCGCTGCACCCTTCCTTTTTTTAACAATTTGTTTAATGGCGGGTGTTGTGCTACTTATGCATTTTATGAGCTATCAAATTATTACAATTCTCCTGAACTTTGACCCTATATTATATTACCTTGCTTTGTGGATAATATATTAGTTCTTATAGTTTTGCTCTTAATCCTAACCCTGATGATAACATGCGCTCAACGCGCTTCAAGCGGACGGTGGTAGTGTGCCTGGTCTTTAAACTCGCACAGAAGGTTAATGTGCTCGACTAGCCTTTTGGGTGGAGCATAGCATTGTTCCTGAAGAGGGTAATGACGAATTCAGCTGAAGATCTCAAAGCCAGGGCACCGTTTCATTTCGTACACACCATCGAGTGCTCGTCAAGACCGCAGTCGCCTGTTTCCTCGTACTTGAAACAGAGACGTGGTAGTGATCAGCGTGCCAAAAGCTCACGTGGCAGACCCATTATGTCATGGTTGCCCGAATGCGTAATTCATAATATAATAACGCAAGAAGATAGAGAGAGGTATTTTATTTTGTAGAAGAATCAATAATTAAAAATTAAGATTATATGGTAAAATTTTTAATTATTCTTGGGTATATACTTCGAAGGGTTGAACCTTTGAAAGCACGGCGCCCCACTGTAAACACCACACCGTCTACTTTTTGGTTGTATGTTTGAAAGGGTGCAGAGCTCTCAGCGGGTAAAAATAAGCATATATTGTATTGATGTGTTTTTAAGAATTTTATTAATTCTAATATTATTGTATATACTAATTCTTAATAATTGTAAGCCTAAACTCATTTTTAAAAGTTTGTAGCTAGAGTAAAACAAGTGAGTTCCCGGTGTACACCAAAGTGATATTTTGCATATCTTTCACTATTCTTTCAAATTCCGTATTTTCCTAATTTTAAGATCTTGCTTTTATCATTCTAGGGAGTTTATTCTGATTTATAGGCTTTCATTTACAAACTTCTAAAAGATTAAGTTAATAGGCGTAGAAGAATGTTTAAATCTAATGGAAGGTAATAAAATTACTATTAAGACTCTCTTGGACGGTAAAAAAGTATACAGGAGTTAATTATTGTGGTTGTGGTACTACTGTTATTACGAATTAAAATGATCAATAACTTTGAGTAGATCATTCAAATTTCTTTATAAGAGGGTAAGATTTGTAAATTTTTATTAATTCTAATATTTCAAGGTGAAAGTCCGGCACAATTTGAAGCAAAACGGTTTATTTAATTGCTAATAGGGAAGCCAATGCTGAAGGTCTTAATATATTTGAAAATGAGTTGATTAATTAAAGGAAGAACACTATAAAAAAAATATATAGCCCCATTACCTTTTTTAAGGTGGCTTGTGCATTTTTTTAATTTTGCTAACTTTCTCCTTTTTTGCTTGTTCATGTATAATATCCGCAAGAGGTTGCCCCATCATATGTAGGAGTCAAGTTTGAATCCGGTTAAAAAGGGGAATTGTTCATAGTTAACCGACATTTGAAATGATAAAAAGATCATATTACGCAGCTTATTAGACTTTTAAAGATGGCATGTTAGCATTATAAATTAGTAAATAAATAAATAATATTTAATTGGGAATTAGAAAAATAAAAGGACGAATATACGCCTATGGCACGCCAGTTTTATAGCCAATAATAGTCCATGCGGCTTCAGAGATAGAACCGTCAAAAGTTGAGAATGCTATGTATTTATTAATTCCCATTATAAAAGTTAGTTTATAATTTGATATTTTTAAGTGATACTTTCTATTTTAATCTTTTTATATGGTGTCTAATAATAACAAGGAATACTTAAAAAAGTAATATATAATTGTTGGTTTAATTATTATAACTTATATTGTTGGCTCAGGTACCTATCCGGACCAGCAGCTTTAAAGCATGATAATAAAAAAAGTTCTAAAGAACTTAAAAATGTTAAGAAAGGAAATACTTTATTTATCGATGATGACGCGGAAGACTGGATTCAGGAAAAAAATATAGGTTCTTTTTATGCCCGTCACATGTATTATTATAATTTCTACCAAATATTTAGAGTCAAAAACTGTTTTTTGCAACCCAATAGTCACAGGAAATATACAAAGTTTTAAAGCTAGTGCTGTAAACACGACCTGGAAAAAAGGTGTTAATTTAACTCAATGTTAAGTTTATATTTATTTTCAGTTAGTATTTCAATTACTGATAACTTTACTTTAAAAATTATTTGCTACAACGTATTGGAAGTTATCTACTTAATATTTTAAATTTAAGTTCAAGATAATATTAGCATTTTAATATGTCTCTAAATTTAAAATTAAAACTTTTCTTTCTCGTTATTAATTTTAAAGCAATTTACTTTTAACTTTAAAATAAGTTTTCTAGCTGAAATAATCTATACATTTCTGGCTTTTTTTTTTTTTGAGTTTTTTAGCCCCTTATTTATTTAATTTTTTTACTTTAATATCTTATTAAAAAATAGTTATATTTAGTTAGAAGTATTTTTTTTTATTTGTATGGAAAAATTTGGCTATATTACCGAATATAATAACTTTAAATATATATTTTATAGCAAACAACTTTTTCTGTTATTAATAAAAGTTCATAAAGTCCTTTTAGAATTATTTATATGTTAAAAATACTTATAATAATATAATTTATAATTATTTTTGCAAATATAAAACAATACTTTTTTTTTCTTTGCTAGTTTAAGTTTCTAATAGTTCAAAATTTGAATTGAGGTTTTGAAAATTTACTTTTTAACTTTTCAAAATTTGTATTTAATTTTAATTAAATTTTTAATTTTTAGTGACTGAATCTTCGGCAGATGCAGTAATTAATAATTCTCTCGAGTATGTCTTTTATAGTTTATTATTATTATCTGCTAATCTTTGTTTTTATAAAATTAATTTCTATTATATATTTATAAAAACTTAATATAAATCTATTTAAAAAAATTATAAAACTATTAAAATAATTGTTTTTTTAATTGTAAATCTATTTTTGTAATTTTTTCTTATTTTTTTTATACTTAATTTTTTTTCAATTCACATTTTTAAAACGTTTTTTAATATTTTTTTATATTATTTTTAAACGTGTTATTAAAGAATATATCACTTATTTTTTTTTAATAATTTTAAATTTAAAGTTTTTTACTTGCAACAAAACAATAAAAATTTTGATGGAACTTTGTTCGCTTTTTATTATCCATAGAAACTTTGATTAAAATAAATTTTATAACCTTGAATTTAATTTCAAAGGATTGATATCTTTTAATTTTTTTAATTTTTTTTAGGAATTACTTAATAGTACAGCACTACTTTTACTTTAATATTTTTAAAGAAATTTATGTTACTAAATCTTTATTAATTTTTTTGTATTTTTAATTATTTAAAGTTTTCTAATATTATACAATTTTTAAAATAAATATTTTTACTTTTTATTATTTAAAAAAATTTTCGAAAAAACTTTTTTTTTAATAATTTACTTTTGATCTTTAAAAAATCTTTTTTTCTAATAACATTTTGTTGAACTTTTATGGTGTTTTTTTTTTAATGTTTACTAAAAATAAAATTTTTGTTACTTTTTTTACTAAAAATGTTGTTTGTATTACTTTATTTGATTTAATTATAAAAAATATTTAGAAATTTTTCATTATTATTTTTTTCCTCAGAAAAAATAGATATATCGCTTTTTTTTTTTGATTTAAGAATTTATAAAAAAAAAAAGTTTGATTATTATGGTTTCATTTTTCTTTATTAATTTTATGTAGAAGTTTACTTTTTGTTTAATAATTTTAGTTTTTAATATTTAATTTATATAATTTTCATAATGCTATTTATTATTTATTATATAATTAAAAAACTGAGTTAATATATAAAAAAATGTTTAATAAAGTTTTTTAAAGTATTTTTTATTTTTTCTTACAAACTTTATAAATCTATTTAAATACTCGTTCAGTTTGTATTTCATATAAACAGAATTGAACGTAAAGTAATTATTTTCTATATATTTTCTTCACTTTTTAAAGATTTATGAATGACTTTTTTTTTTTTCTAATATATTTTAAAAGTTTACTTAAAAAAAACTTTTATTGTACAGATTTCCAAATTACAAAAAATTAATTTACATAATAATTTTTTAAATAAATATTCAAAATTAGTATGTATGAATAGTTCTTGTATATTAAAATAATTATAAAACTATATATTTATTAATAAATATTATAGGAATATTCTTATATATAAAAATTAGTTATTGATTTGCATTCTTTAGGAATTTTTGACATGTTTAAATTAGATTTTGCTTTTCGTTATTTTATAAACCTTTAATATTTCCTTTTTTATTTATAATTTATATAAAATATTATTAAAGTGTTTTGTCGAATCCGGAAGGAAGTAAAACTACTCAACTTTCAAAGCAAACGTCTACTTCGCACGACCTAAAAAAAAAGTTATATAAAGAACTTTATATTACTATCGTTATCATAAAAATATTATTAATTTATAAATTTAGAGGTTTTTCAAATATTTTCAAAGAAATTATAAAATTTATTATTTTGTTTTACAGTTTAGCAAAATCTATTTTTTTTAAATAAAGTATTTTTAACAGACATTTTACTCTAAAACTTTCATTATTATTTATTATTATAATTTTTTTAATTATTTATTTTTGCTTAAATTAAAAATATTTTTAATTATTATTTTTTTGAAAAGTTTATTATTATTTTATTAGTATTATTTTTTTTTTAATTTGTTTTTATCAGCATATTTTATTATTTTTTCGAAAAAAAGTTTACTATTATTTTTTAAAATTGCTAAATATTTATTATATATCTGCCTTCTTTTTTTTTATATACTTCTCATATTATAAAAAAAGGTGCTGTTATTAATATTTATAAATATTAGCTCGCTGAGGTCTATAGTAAGATTTAGAAGGAAAACTTTTTATTTTTTAGTACTTGTTATTATTTAGAAAAAAGTGCTTTTATTTATTTTTATTTATTTCTATTACTTGAGTTTTAAGATAATAATAAAAACTTTTTTTCTCCTTTGTTGTTGTTTTTAATGAAGTGCTGTTATTTATTAATACTATTTTGCTTTGAAAGTTTTGAGGCGCATTCCGATTCTGATATTTCACCACCTCGAAAATCTTCTGCCGTCGATGAGTAATTATTATTATTCTTATTATCCTTATTTTTATTCTTATTCTTATTACTATTATTATTATTATTATAGTAAGTTCGTCATTATACTTTTTATAATTTTACTAATGTATATTGTTTATATACTTATTTTTAATATGTATATATTTCTTTTAAGTTATACTTTTTTGTATATTTATATATCATATATTATTATTAATAGAATTATAAATATTGTATATTATTTACGTACTATTTATTATAAAATATAATCCATACATGTTTATAATTATACTTATATTTTTATTTAATTTAAAATATAAGTTTTAATTTTTTATATACTTACTACTATTATAAAACTACTTTTCAAGTTTATTATTATACTTTTTGTATTATATAACGTATATTTTTATTATTAGTAATATATATTATTTATATAATTATATTACTTATAAATAATATTAAATGTACTTCTAATCACATATGTATTAAATTTCTTATTGAACTTTTTATTGAAACATTTACTAGCAATATATGTAATAATAAATAATGTTAATATACTTATTACTATATGTATATTAAGTTTGTTATTAAACTTATTTATATTTTTATTATAAATTATAAATGAATTTGTTAGCAATATATAAGTTAATAATAATATATTTTTTTTTTCGTTATGGAATATAATATTTTCTTTTTCTGCTATTATTTTTACGTGGATGTATAAAAATATAAAGGGTACAGTATTTAATATTTAAGAATCTTTATAGCAGTTATAGGAAAGAGTTTTAAATTGAACATAAATAGTAATATTTATTCATCATTTAGTTTTTTTTAAATAGAATATTTAAAATTTTATTTATTATATATAAAAATAAATAAAAATTTACAGAAAAGTATAGAATATTTAATAGAATCGTAATCATAGTTTTTTTATACTTAGCATACTTTTCTATATATATTTCTTTGGCTTTTTTATATATTTTTGGCTATTTTATAGCAACTTTTATTTTTTTTTTCCATAAACATAATTCTACTATCAATTTTTTCAAAATATATAAAACTTAAAATATTGTAGTAAAGTTTAAAAAATATATATATTCTAACTATATTACAAGAACTTTACATTTAATAACAATTTCTTTATATTAAATTTTTGTAAGTTTACTATGATAAGTTGATATATATAACAGCTTTTTACTAATAGTTGTGTGTTTTTATACAAAAAAGTATAAATAGTAATAGTAATAAGAAACTATTATATGAAAGTTGATTATTAATGTCAAAGTTTTTATATTTGCATTTAATATCTAAATATAATACTTGCTATTAAAAAACTTTTTTTAACATTTATTGGTTATTTTGATATAAAAATTTCAACTTTTTATTATGTAAAATATAATATTCTAGTTTTGTTAGTTGCCTTTTTGAAATCAGAAGAAGTTTATTGGTGGAACAATTCACCTTTTCTACTTAATTGCTACAACAAACTAAGTTTTAATTTTTGGGGTGCCTCCATTTTTAGTCCAATACGCTATTGGTTGCCTTTTTTGGAAAATCTAAAATATTTATTGGTGGAAATAATTCACCTTATTTCATTTGATTTGCAATAGAAACTAAATTATATATTTTTTAATGCTCGATTTTTAGACCAATACGCGGTTTTTTAAGGCGCTTAAGCCACATGGAGTAGAGTTACGCTTTCCTTATTGGCCATTTTGACCTTCAAGCATGTGCTCTTTTGCTCTATACTTTACAGAAAGTTTCATATTGCCCACCGCGTATTTTTTATGAAAAAAACCAAAATATATCATAGAAACAAGAAAATGAATAAAAACTAAAATGATAATAAAAAAGGAAATAAAAATATATTATGAAAGAACAATGTTGAACTATAATAATACTAACAATAGACTTAAGAAATAGAAAAAAATATATACTTCCCTTTTTGGTTGCAGGACACTCCTTATGTTTCACTATTATTATTATTATTATACACTTTACTTTTTGTTTTATTTTATAAAAGTCTCTAAATATTATATCTATATAACATATACTAAAATAACTATAATAATTAATCACAATGAAAAATTTATAATTAAGTAATATATATATGCGTATTCACTAATAAAAATAAATATAATATTATTTGATTCCCAATAATTATAAAAAGCACAACAAGTTTTGTTGTAAAAATATTTATTTGGAGTTTCGCAATGAAAAGTTATTAAATATCAAAAATAATAAAAGGTAAATGGCGCTAAACTTTTTTCTTTAGACATTATTTATATATAAAGTTCGAACATTTGCACGTTTATAAGTAGCTAAATAGGAAAGTAATAAATTTACGCATCGATATTTTTTATATATAAAAATAAATTATATATCAAAAAATAAAAACTTTTCATACTTAGAGGAAACTTTATATTGCATTATTATTATTTTTTATCACTAAAATTTTTTAGTCAACATAAAATTATTTAGTATCTTTTTCCTTTCAGTGATTTGTCTCCTGTAAGAAAGCAAAGGCGACGGGTGGAATGCTCCTCCCGAGACTTAAAAAGTAAAGCATTATATATATTTTTTAAAATTGTGCCCAACAAGAAAACATAATTTTAAGGCGGGAGAATGGCGGACGGCACGAAAGCCGGACTTTTAACATCAAAAGAAATTAAAGAAATAAATGCATTGAAGCGCGCTCGCGAAAAAAATTCCACTTTTTCGGGTTTGTTATTTATTGTTATTACTACTTTTAGTATTAATTATTATTATTATTATAATAATTTATTATAGAAAGGGAATCGCAGACAACTAAAGCAGTTATTCGCGATAAAACGGGTAAGCCTTACTAATTATATTTCTTATAAATATTTACCATTACATTTTATTATTATTCTAAGAATTGTTATGATTCTTTTTTATAGCGTTCTTTGCTACTTTTTATTATTATAATATTTATAAATGAACATGTATAAAGTTTATTAGAACTATATATATATATATAGGAAAGAGAATAGATCCGGAATTAATTAGAGAGCAGAAGAAAATTGAAGAAGAAAAAGAAAAAGAAAGAATGGTCAAGTACCAACAATGGAGTGCAGGTAACTAAAAAATGTATAAATAATAAAAGAAATATTAAAGTTATATTAAAGGTAGAATAATAATAAACTTTACATATAAAAATAAAAAATATACCTATAAAATAAATATAAAAAAGGTGTAATTTATTGGAAAAAAATTTATATTATAGATAAAAATTTTATTATATTATAAATAAAAGTTACCCTAAAAGTGTTATAATAAAAAAATTTATATATAAAATAATTCAAGTAAGATATTTCTTTGAAATAAAACTTGAAAATTTATAACTTTTTGGAAAAAAAAATTGTTTCGTATAAACCTTTTATTATATTATAGATAAGATATCAAAATTAATACAATAATAAACTTTTGTATAAAATAATATAATACTATATTTCTGTAAAATAAATATAAAAAATAGAAAACTTACTGGAAAATTTTTATTTTTTATATAAAAATTATATATCGTATATAAAAGTTATATTAAAAGTAGAATAATAATAGACATTTATAAAACAAGCATGAGAAATAAACAAATTATTGGGTAATTATTTATATTTTATGTAAAAACTTTATAAGTTACAAAAAGTAGAATAATAATAAACTTATAAATAAAATAATAAAAATAAAATAATTCTACATAATAAATATTAAAAATATTTAACTTTTTGGAAAGTATTAATATATTATAAAAATTATTACAATTTGAATAGAAGTTATATAAAAGCAGAATAAGTAATAATTTTTATATGAAATAGTATTATAAACTTTTCTTTAATGTAAGTGTGAAAAAAAGTTATAATAAAAGCAGAACAATAATAAACTATACATACATTATAAATATAAGATATTATTAAACAAAAGTAAAAAAATTATATTGAAAGTAGAAAATATTAATATAAAGTATTTTTATAAATATGTACAAAAATTAATAAAACTTTTATTAGTAATAAAATTTACAATATAAATTAAAACTTGTATAGAAAGTATATAAAAAAGTGCACTTTTCATAGCGTGTAAATTGTTGTAGAAAAGTTATCGAAAGAAAAATTATTATATTATTATTGCTGTTGTTTTATTTTATAAACAAAAAAAAGAAATATTTTTTTTATTTTTCAAATGATTAATATAATATGAATCTTATTAAATAAAAAATAAACTTTACGAATTTTAAGAAATCCTTCTAATATAGAAAATTTTTTTGAACATGTGATGTTTACTTTTTAAGGTAATGTCAGTATTTGGAATGAAAACCTATAAACTTAATTATTATGAAAAAATATTATTTTAACTACTTTATAATAGTTTTTTGTACGAAAGAAAAATACTGAAAACTTATATTCTAAAACTGTTCTAAAAACTCTTGAAAAACTAATAAATAACTAGTGTTAGCCGTAAAGTATGATAATATTTTTTAAATTTCATAGAAGTTAGTGATAAATATTTTGGGAAAATAGCATAAAACTATTACACTCGTGAGAATAAGCTAAAAAGTTTATCATCTACAACATTTAAGTGATTTACCTAAATTTTTTAAAAGTTTCAAGTATTTGTTTTTTTATATTAAACGAATTATTAATCCTATCAGCAAAAAGGTTTTATATTATTTTAAAACGTTCAAATCTTTTATCACGATAATAGTAAGTATTTTCTATTATTTAAAAAAAAATGAATTAAAAAAATTAAGACTATTAAAATACTAATAATAAAAGTAACTGCCTTACATTTTTTGGTATAAATATTTTATTTCTCAAACTTTTCCAAAACTATTATTAAACTCTTATATTTATTAACTATAACTTTTAATAATAAATAAAATTAAAGTAACTCAAGTTTATTGTATAGGAGTATTTCTACATATGTAACGTTAATGGTATTTATTATAATGCATGAATATTTACTTTGTATGCATTTTTACAGGGACCACTCAACTCAAGTTACGCCAAGAAAAACTAAAGGAAGAGGAGCATGAAGCAAAGAAAGCTTTTACTCGGTCTATTATGATTGTTTATTCATTTACTTTTTTTATTTAATAACGGCGTACTCTTAGCAAAAAGTATTGCAAATAAATTCACTAAATATTTGCATAAGTAATAAAGTTGATTATTATTAGAAAAGATGCCAACAAACTACTCTTTCAACTATACAACTATTATTATTATTTATATAAATGTTTATTTGTTTTATATCAACGACACCTTTTAACAAAAAGCAATACAAAAAATTAAAGTTCACTAGAATGTTTGCTAAAATGATAAGACCAATCTTTACTTAAAATGCTGACCAATAATTTTTTATATTAAAAGATACCGCTCTGATGAAGATTTGGATAAATATTATCGCAATCGAGCGCGAGCCGGTATATTTATTTTCAATAAAAGAATCGCAATATTATTAATGATAGCAATAAAAAAATAATAATAGTATTATTAATAATAATAAATAGACGATCCCATGGCGAGATTTCTGAATAAAAAAAAAGACCAGGACAAGCCAGTTTATAAAGGTAAAATCTTTCCACTGAATATACTTGACTGTACTTAACTTTCTATTGGTAATTTTTATTTTTTTAATAAACAATAACTAATAAATATTATTATTAGGACCATTACCGCCTACCAATCGATACGGGATTTTGCCTGGTTATCGCTGGGACGGTGTCGGTTCGATATTTTAATTGGTTTATTTAGTTATTAAGCACATTTTGGTTCGCCAAGATAATATAGTCGTTAGTAAAACTTTTTGTAAATTTTTTTTTAGATCGCTCCAATGGATTTGAAAAGAAGTTAATGGAGGCACAAGCCAACAGACTATCACGTGCTGCAGAGGTCTACACATGGTCGACGGAGGACATGTGATCAGCAGAGTATTGTAATCATACAAAATTTAGTTTGCTTTATCTTTTACTATTGACATTATTTAAAAAAGAAATTTTCAAGCAAAAGTAAAATTAAAAAAATTATTTTATTAATAAAATTAAAACTTTATTCATTTTACAAAAAAAAATTAATTCTGATAGTAATAAAAAAGGCTCAACTATACTTTTTTTGTTAATAGCGCTAATAAACTTTTTTGGTCGCACCATTTTTACGATTTTGCATAGCATTGTCTTCGGCGGCGTGTTGTTGGGCTAATCGTTCCATGCAGGATATTGCAAACCTGAATCCAAATTATAAAATAAGATATTTTACTGGAAAAATAAAAATAAACTAGTTTATAATATTGATTTGGACCTAAAAAAACCGCGAGTTAAGTTTTAGTAAAGTGACTTACCAGCCAATCAACCCAATCATCAACGCATTTCCAAGCTTTGATAGTAATGACCGGGGCCGGCTATTATTGTTGGGATTTGCGTGAAATTTTTTTCTATGGAAAGTTGAACCAACAATACTAAAAACAGCAAGAAAAATAGAAAACACATGAGAACCTCGTCTCTATAAAAAATTCCCGCAATGGTCGGTCGAAAGATAGAGATGGCGGTGCTATGATTTTGGTAAAGTCCAACATTTTTTGCAGATATTTATCACTAAATATAATAATGAAGAATACTAATAAGAAATATTAAATGTAAAAAAACTGGTATTATTATAAAAGTTTACACGCTTGACCATTTACTTTCACGACGGCTTTTCCAAGCCACGTGGCCAAGAAAAAAGTATTGAACGGCATAAGAAAGTGCCCGCAGCATATGCCTAAAATATATTTTTTCATTAAAATAAGCAATAAACAAATTTTTATATGAATATTTTTGTGTTAAAAGTTTATATTTTCAGTGATAATGAAGGCTCACGTGCTATAAAATTAGCCATGAGACTAAATATAAAAAGTTTCATATAACAATTTTATAAGAGCGTAGCTTATAAATATTAAGCTTTTATACATAAAAATAAATAAATAATGAAAGCATTTTCTATCAATTATAAAATTAAATGATAATAAACTTTTTCTAGTAAATGTCATTAAAAAAAAACCACAAAGATCGAAGGCCATATTGGGCCACGCGGACATGAGAAAAACGCCCCAAAATCCACATGTTTTCATAAATCGAACCATCCATTCCTTGAGGAAAAAAAATATAAAAAATCTTTTGTAAAACTAAATAAAAAAATATCAAGCGAGCGATACTATAATAGTAATGAAAAAGGTAAAATTTTAACGTAAGTAAGAATAAATAAATATACTTTTGACCAGTTCATAATGTCCCAGTAAGAATGAGGCCGTGCTATTTCCTCTATTTCTTTATTCTTTATAATTATTATTATTATTGTTGTTGTTATTATTAATATTTGTTATTATTACTTTTTCTCCTGAAAGCCGAAGAGCTCTGCTAAGCAGATAAGGGGGGATCTCTCCTAGCGCAGTTCCTGTGCCCCATATGAAACATGCAGGGAACACAGTAAGAAATATTCGAAGAAAGCTGATTAGTAATAATAATAATAATAATAATAATAATAATAATAATAATAATAATAATAATAATAATAATAATAATAATAATAATAATAATAATAATAATAATAATAATAATAATAATAATAATAGTAATAATAATAATGGCAATAACAATGTGCGTACTTGTTTTTATATTTAATACTTTCAAATTTCGTTGGGCACGTGAACGGTACCGAGTTAAACCACGTGTCTTTTCGGATATCCAAGCCATTCACTAAAAGACGTAAAAGTTGTATTAAAAAATTGTTCGTAAACATAATACGCAGCAATATTAATAAATAAATAAAATAATAAGTTTATATGAAATTATATAAATAAAACACTGAACTCAAAGTAAAGCTACACTCTTCAGCAACTGCAATGACTTTGAATATATGAGGAAACAAAAAAAGGAGACCTGTTAATAAAATTAAATATATAAATAATACTACAAAAAAAAATAAAAAAAACTTAAAACGTGTTAGAAAAAATTATATAGAAAATATACATTTGAATATGATTTTTTTTAATAACGTTAAAAGTTTATAAGAAAAATAAAAAAGTTTTATAAATTTGTGGCCACGCAGTCTATTTACTTCAAAAATTTATAAAATATTTAAATATAAACAGAAAGTAAAAGTTTGCATTGTTATTGAAAATATACTAGGCTTATAACCAATATTAATAAAGTATACATAGAAGAAAGGTAGAAAAAAAATAAAGTTATCGTACAATTTTTATTTAGGTTCTTATAATAACTTTTATTGTTATATCTTAATTTAATAAAGTTTGATATCAGTTAAGTTAAGAAGTAAACTAAATAAAGACTATATTATCCTAGCTTGCATGGATATCAAAAAGAAAATATATTAATAATAAAAAGATTATAAAATTTTAATAAAAAAAAAGTAATTCACACTATTTTTGAGCACTTGAAAATATTTTTTTAATGAATTCTAAAAAATAAAGGTATAGAGATTTTTAATATAAATAAGAATTTTTAAGTCATATTTTTATTAAAATTTAAAATTATAATAACATGAAGTACCGGAGTGCATGCCAGTTCCTAAACCTACGCTAGACAGAATTCCTAGGCCAAGCCACCAGACAATGAAGGAGAGTGTGAGATTAATTTGATTTAAAATCTCTGAGTGAATGCCTTTTTATTTATTTTTAAGAAACTTATCAAAAAATTGATTAATAAATATAAAATATGACCAGTAATAGTTTTTTAAAAAATTATAGCTGAGATCTTAAAATCATTTAAAATAATATATTTAAAAGAAAAGTTTAAAAGATCTGATCTAAAATCTCCGATAAACCAATAAAAGAGTTTTAAAATTTGTTTTTTTTTTCAATTTGCCTTGAAAAATCATAGAAGTACTTAGTATTAAAAATTCTTTGGTCTCAAAATATTTTTCAGAAAATATATAAAAATTTGTAGGATTAATAAATAGCTCAAAGTTTTTTCAAATTTATCTAAGTTATATTTTTTAGAGTCAAAACTTTATTAAAAAAAAGTGATTTAATTTAAGTGTTAAGCCCTTATAATTTTACTTTTAACTAGAAAGTAGTAATAAAATTGTTCAATAGTTTATAAAATTTCTTTAGTTTTTATAGTTAACTAAATTCAGTTTAAAAAAAAGTTAAAGTAGTTTAATTTTTAAGAGCATAAAAGTTTGCTTTTTACATAACCACAATATCTAGTTTATGTGGTTCAGGAGAGAGTAAAACAATAATACTTGCATCAGTTGCGTGTCATCAATATATTTACTATATATTTTTCTTAAAGTATAAAAATATATATTTCTATAGTACCTTGTATGTGCGAGAGTAGAATCCAAACACACAAGCAAGGAAGAACAACACGCCGAGTAAAAGTGTGAGTAACCATTAAAATACTGTTGCATTAAGAATAATTTAGCTAAAAATAGAATTTAAGAAAGTAAATAATTTTAAATGAAATTTTTAAAGTTTTCAAGTTGTTTAGTTTGGTGTTATCTAACATTAATTTTGGACATCCCCCCTTTCCAAATGTACCTTTTATAGGTGAGGCAAAAACGATATATATAGACTTCTATAAAAGAAAAAGAAAAATTGTTTACTTACTACTACAAATAGATTAATTATAAAAAGGAACCATAAAGTTCGTAATTGCTTTAGACAAAACAGAGCAAAGTGTAACAACACAAGGTGTGGGTTATAGAAAAAAGAAATTCTTTTCTGTTGAGGCCTAAATAACTTTTTCAACTCTTCAGCAGAAATATTATTATTAAAAACATCAAGACTTTTTGAAGGGTACGCCCGAAATTTCTTTTTCACAGGACGTTGACCATTGCTAAGCACCATGATGGTCACTTCGTAAATAAAATCGGTCAAGTAATGTTTTACATAATAAATACAAAATTTGCAGGTATTAATCTCAAGTTCTCCAATCATCTACTAGAACACAACCGCGAAAATCTCAACGCCCAGAAACGTTTCATTGAAAATATTTCCTAAGTTTTTGAAATAAGCTATTAATTTACTAATTATACAGAACTTTGTGTTATTTCATAGTTAAAACTATCGTTATTATATGGCTTTTTGTAAACAAAATTTTGAGTGTTTATATAAAACATATCTCGATTTCACTGTGGTGTATGGATATATAACTATTTAGTGGACGACATTTTACCGCTGTAAATTTGGAAGTGCTTGACGGAAGTAGCCTTTCAGCGAGCGTCATGTTAAGTCGATGTGTATATAAATTGATGTATTCTTTACTAGTTATAAGCTAAAAAAAAAAATATTTATTGAGCTTACCTTTATATCCTTTTAATAACAGTGAAAATAATAAATAAGAGATTAATAACTTCAAAAAGTATAACCGAAATAATAATTGAAAAACAGTATAAAGGAAACATCTTGCGTTTTTGATAATAATTGCAATTCCTAGGCCTTTATTCGTTGGCCAAGTGGATAACGTTAAAAAAGTTTCTAACCCGCTTAGATCCGTGCATATTAAAGATGTACTTTATCATATAATTTTTACTAAAAATTTTCTTATAACTGTTTAACGTAGAAAGCTGTTTTTAGCATAACAGAAAGAGGTATTAGAGTAGTTCTTGAGGAATATTCTTCCTTTCAAGCAATTACCTTTTTGCAGGTGGTCACCTTAAACAGAATTTTTTTGTTATTAACTTTTTGTTCCCGAGTAGGCTGAAATTTTTGATACCTATGAAGTCTCCAAATCTTTTGAATTTGGCATTTCTTTAAACACATTACTAGAGGTAATCTGTCTTACGCTTAATAAAAAATATATTATTTTGTAATTTTTTCAACAATTTTTTTTTACATTAAAATTTATAACAAATTTTTTAATAAGTGTCTCAATATCTTTGGAACCTCCGGAAGTATAATTTCTGCTCCTGCTTTAAAAGTTTCTTATGAAGGATATGGCTCCCCACTCGTAATTTTGTACTTATTTCCTTAGTATTTACTTTATAAAACTATTACAAGCATTATTCTTTAAATTTTAACTATAAACTTAATTGCAATTTAGTAACTGTGTTTAATGTATAAGCAATTAAAATTTTAGAGTTTTTCTTAAAATTTTAATTCGAACTGAATTTGTTTTACAAATTGCTTATTAGTAATGACTAAATATAATAGTTATATAAGAGAGTTAAGTACAGATTGTGAATATTTAGATTAGAATTATTTTGTGCTTTTTCTTAATCAGAAAAACTTCTCATAAAGAAAAATGTTAGTACTCAAAAAATATACTAATTAATAGAGAATCCTATAACATATAAATTTACTAATTAACATACTTTAGAAATCTTATCTTATATAAATTTAGTTAACAAAATTTTCTTCATAAATAATTGTATATTATACATTTCTTTATAGAAAACCCTTTAATTAAAATATATTACTAAAACATAAACATAAGACTTTCTGAGCACGGAATATGCACAGATTGCTCTATTCGTACTATCGACGCCGATTTTATAACAGATTTCGATTTCTGCACTGAGGGAATTATTAATAAAATAATTTTAAAGGTATGAAGTTAAACCACTAAGAATTTTTATTATTATTGGTTGATGAAAATTTTAAAAAATTTTGGAAGGCATTGAAAGTTCCGATTCAATCTAATTAAAAATTAATTTGATTTAATTTTAAATTCCACACAAAAGTAAATTAATCGAAATTATATTCATCTTTAAACATAAAAATTTGTATGCTTATATTTTCTATATATAATTTTTTTATTAATTTAAATAACTTGGGTACAGACGGTAATATATAGTAATCCGAAGATTTTAATTAAAAAAGTTTAAAGAAAATCTTGGCAAACCAGAAATTTAAAAGAAATCTATATAAAGTTTTAAAATAAAATAATGATTAAAAAATAAATTAAACTCCAATAACAGAAAATTTGCAATTTAGTTGTTTATTATTGATTTCGTTTTCTAAAGTATTTTAAATTTTTTTTAAGTACTAATGATATTTATATAATTCTTATTTATCTATAAATATAATAATATTATATTGAAGTATAAAAAAGTATAAAAAATATAATTCGAGAAAGTAAATTTATTATGGAATGAAAAAAATTACATAAAAGTAAATAAAAATCGTTTTTTATTATATGAATTGGTTAGAAGTTCTATCGTTATTAATTTATAAAAATAAAATTTTCTGAAAGTATACAAAACTAAATAAATTATTAATAAAAATAAATACTAATCAATAAAAGTTTATGGAAATCGTTTTAAATTTATAAATCGATAAGAAGTTGAATTATTAATAATTTATAAAAATATTTATATGAAATAAAAGCGTTAAAAAAGTTAAATAAATTATTTATAAAAAAATAAATATCAGCAAAAATATATAAAATTCGTGTTAATTTATAAATTGAGAAGTTGAATTAATATATAAAAATAATAATACTTCTATAAAAATATATATGGGTAAAATATTATATGGAGGAAGTAAATTATTTATGAAAAAACAAAAAATTTAGTAGGCTATAAAAGTTGATAAAAATCGTTGAATTCAAAATTATTACATCCAATAAAAAACTGTTTAGAAAAATTAAAATTTTTGAGATTTTTTTGACCAATTGTTGTACGCTTAGTTTATATTATAAATGAAATTTTTTAACTACAGTATTGTTTCTGCTTCAGCTATCAAAACTAATAAAAACTATTATAATAAGAAAATCAATTAGTAAAGCATTAATATATAAAAATTATTACAATTAATTTTCAGTATTACATAAAACTATTATAATTATAAGAATTTTGAATTTCATATAAAGAGTTAAAATTATGAACTCAAAAAGAATTTTATATAAAGCAACGAAATCTTGAAATTATTTAACAAAGTATTTTGAAACGTATTATAATAATACAAATATTTTCTGAAGCAATGAAATTTGTGAGACGAGCTTCTTCTGTTTATATTTTTTTAAATTAGTAAATTAATAAAAATTATTATAATAATAAATTTAAATATTTTATAACATAGAAAAAAACCCTTTTCTCTCTATTTTTGTAGCACTTTCGGCTAACAAAAATATCATTAACTAATATTCAAAATTTTACTCGTTTTTATTTGTTTCCTATTACTAAAATTTATAAGAAATTTAAACTCATTTATGCTAGTCCATAATTTTTTAAAAAGATTTATTACTTTCATAATAAATCTAAACCGAAAAAAAAACTATTTTTTAATATAAAATTTTATGTACAACATTCGCAAACTATGAAAAAATTTGTTCCTTTATAAATTTAGTTACAGTGATAATTGAGTACATAATGTTTCATTATAAAAAACTTAGTTTAAAGTTTTTATTGCAAGTAAATCTAAAAATAAATAAATTAGCCTTTTTTTTTACTTTCATATTTAATGGTGTTATATAAAGGCCGAAGCCATGAGAGCCACTCTGGGAGATCTCGATTCATCCAGCGATATTATTGAAATAAAAATGTCTCCCGAACTGCCACAGTTTAGGCTTTCCACTTACGGCGCTGCTGGAATTTATCACGTATTATTATTATTATTATTGTCCTTATTATTGTTATTTATCATTATTATTATTACTATTATTATTATAAGATTGACTACTCTAAGTACAGTGAAGCAGTGGAAAGCTGCCAGAATACGCAAACGCGAGTGCAAAGGTTTTCCTATTTTTTTCTTCACTTTTATATCAAATAAATTAAACATTTATAACATTGGATCAATAAAGAATTTTTTTATACCAATAAGATTTATTATATTTACTATTATTCCTTTTAAAGCATTGATATATATATGATTACTACTACTATTATTATTACTTTTATTATTGAATATTGTTGTTATTATTACAAGATACAAATTTTCCTTTATCAATGCCACTCTTAAGGCTTTACACGTGGCCAGCAAAGTCAGCTTTCGTATGAACAGTAATTCTTCTCTACAACTTTATAATAAAGAAAAATTCATTATTTTCTTTTGCGCTAGGAAGAGGTTTCCTTTCAATTCATTTTCTTTTAGAAAACGATGGAAAGTTCAGTTTTGTGGAGTTTTTGGTTTCCCTTATGATCTTTATTTGGCCCCTTTAACTTTTTGGTTCCCTTTCTGCTTTAAAGTGTTGCCCAGAAGATATAGAAAACACAGCTGATTCTGACCCTGCATCCAACTAGTATCTACTATTCTATTGTAAGTGTTATTTATCATTATCATTATTATTATTATTTGCTCATGAAAACTTAAAAAATAAATAGTTTTTATTATAGAATATAAATAGTAGTAATGTAAATAGCTATTATTATGACTATCTCTTGCTGTTTTCAGTTTTGATTTGAGTATGACATAAAATTTTGTGTTATTAAGAATTTTAGTCTTCGCGCGCGAAAGATGAGTATCCGGGCGATAGAGTTCTTAGAAATAAATAATAATAATAATAATAATAATAATAATAATAATTTACTTTTCAAAAGAGCTTAAACTTGATACGGTAATACGAGAATGTGAAGGGGTTTGAGTGGCGGAAATAGGAGGCTGCGAGGAGGAAGACAAATCCAATTGGACGGCTAACATATTTCTGTTTTCATAGCATTTATCGCAGACTCGAACTATTAATAAACAGTTAACATTCATTATAATAATAACAAACAAATTTTTACTTGCAATAAATATAAAGTTACTATTAGTATGCCGTTATAAATACCTTCCTTAAGCGTATCCGGATGTATAATTGTATTTTGCGAGCACATGTGACATATAACTTTTCCACATGTTCGGCAGTGATGCTTTATTATTAATATTATTATATTACTTATTATTATAATTAAATAATTATTATTATCAAACTTTTCTTCTGAAAGTAGTAAAGCGCGATTCACAGTTTCTACAAAAAGTTACGCTTTCATCTTCCTCCCAAACTATTTCTGTTTGCCGTTTCTAATATTATGAATACACAATAATAACCATAAAACATAATAATATATATAGAAAACACAAACTTCTTTAAAGGAGGCCAATTCCATTTGCAAGTGTTGGTTTTGAAGAACATAATCTGCCTTGAAAGTAGATATAATAATAATGATATTGATAATATTAATAATAATTATAATAACTTGTATTGATAAAGTATCGTGCATTATTTTTTTAACGGCTTCGTTTTCATTTTTCAATTTAACAATCAATTCTTTTTCACTGCAAATAATGCAAAATAAAAGTAACAAAAAATTATGAATAATATTAAACAATAATAAAAAAAGAAACTACTTTTCTTATTATATAAAAGTAATGATTGTTTTATGTATAAATAGAAAGTCAAAAGTATATTTTTAAAAAAGTTGATAATAAACAAAATAGTAGAAAAGTTTGATATGAAATTATAATTATAAATATAAAAATACTTAAAATGATAATCCTAAAATATTAAAAGCATAATAATAGCATGAAATCAACTTCTTAAAGTAATAAAAATTATAAACAAAACAAGAAGCATCCGCAACAAAGAAAAAAATTAAATTCGAAAAAAAAAATATTAAAAATATATAAAAAGTAATATTGAGTATATAATAAAAGACACTAATAATGCTATAGAAGATAATAAAAAGTTATACAAACTTTTCCGAATATATTAAATAGTACAAATAAATATAGTACTATAAAGTAAAAACAATACTTTTAGTTTATAATATTAAAGGTTTTCCTAGTTATCAGTATAATAATAGTAAAGAAAAATATAATTATTCTTCGATAATAGTAATAACTTCCCAATAAATATAAAAAACGTAAAATAATAATACTATAAATATATATTGTAATTATTATATAATTCTATATTATAAAGAAAGAATAGGTAAAATATTAAATAATATTTAAAAACAAAATAGTTATAAAACTGTTATGATTAATATAGTAATACAAAACTTTTAATAACTTTATAAGAGATATTACTATGAATATATTATTCTACTTTTTAAATATACAAAAGCTGAATTGTTTAATATTTTTACAACTATAATTATTTAATGGAATTTTTCACTATTTAGTATAATATTTAACAAAAGAAAGAATATAATATTATTAATAAAAGTATTCGAAGTGTTGTAATAAATATAAAATTTAAAAATATATATATATATATATATAAACTTTTCCAAAGTTTTCTGCAACTCCTTGATAATATCGTCTGACTTGCGCTTCAGTTCATTAAGTTTTTGCTTTAGTGTTTCCTTCTCTGCTTTTAAGTTTGTGATTTCTATTAATAATTTTTCCTATAAAAGTACAAACTTTTCATTAGTTTATTAAATAAAAAGTGTATTAAAAAATACCTAAAATAATAAACATGCGTTTAATAATATTAAAAGAATATTAAAAAATATATATAGTATAACTAGACATTCGCTTTAGTATTTATAAGTTATGAGTTTATTAATATTATAAAAATATATAAAAAGGAACATTTCCTTTAGTAGAGCTTTAAAGATATGAGTATAGCAACGTAATATTTATAGATAAAAAACAGTAATATAAAAAATATAAAACTATATAATTTATTTATGAAAATTTGTAAGTTATTATTTTATGGATACAAAAAAAATTCATAAAAATAGACAATTTATTCATAAAAGTTTGTAAGTTATTATTTTATTATAAAAAAGTAAATATATAAAAAATTAAGGCATTTTTGAGATTTTTATCTATATACATGTATAAATATATGATATTCTCTAGTAAAGTTTACAAGTCATTAGTTTCTCCATATAAAATTTATGTATACAAACATTTTCTTTCGTAAAGTTTCCAAGTTGGTTTCTATGGTGAAGAAGCTGTTCTTGAAGTTCTCGATTTTCCTTTTTTAAGTTTACTTCACTTTCTCTCGAGCAATTAAGAGAAGTATCTAAATTTTCTATTATACTCCTTGCGTTTTTTATTTTTTTTTCAAGGCCGTCTTTATTAATAATATTAAGAATAATAATAATATATAAATTAATAAAACCAATATGTTCTGAGTTTTGGCTCATAGCAGATTTGTAGTCCCTTATCTATTTTTATCGTAACAAAAGTGAAAGATAATCAATATACAAAAAAAACAAAAAAATACTCTAAGGAGTAGTCCTTCTCGCTCGTTTTGTAAACTTTGAAAATTTCTTTTTAACTCTTCTAAATCTTTCTGAACGGCCTCTTTTTCAAACTTAAAAAAAATTATTATAATGAACTTAATACAAATATTATTATAAAAGTAAAAAGCAATAAAAAATAACTATTATAATTTAATAGTAAAAAGTATTACAAATAAAATAAAAATAATACTTATCTTAAATCTATATTCATTTCTGTCTCTTTTTTACAATATTATACTTTTATTATATAATATAATGTTATTATTAAACTTTTATTATATATTTTTTAAATTTTGGTTTATTTGAATAATTTTTCTAAACAGTAATAATAAAAACATACCAGCTGTCTTTGTGATAATAAAGATTCATAATTATCTCTTACTTGAGTCATTTCAACTGCCGTAAGCGTGCATTGTTCCCTTAATGCAGAACATTCTTCTTTCTTGAAAATAAAATGATGTAATAATAAATATAATATAAAAGTGATGATTCCAAGAGGTATAATGAAATAGTATTATTATTACTTTTCAATACGTATTTAAAGCATAAATATTTTCTTTCTATGTATACAATAAGAAACTATCGTACAAAACTTTTAAAAAAACGCACCAGCAGTTCCTCTTTATTTATAATGTATTTATTATTAGAGATTTCTAACGAAAACAACTTTTTTATAAATATTTTTTTAAAAAAAAAATTGTTAATTAATTATTTTTACTTTTGCTTAAGCACGGAATATAAAAGGCACGCTAAGCACCGCCTTGCCTACTCTTTTTTGAAAAGGTTTTATTATAATAAGAATAATATAAAATATATAAATGAAATTTATTAAATTCATTATAGTAAACTATAAAAAAATATAAACAAAGTAATAATATATAAATAATAGAAAAATAGTATCAATAAAAATATAAAAATAATAAAACATGAATAATAAATATATATACAAAATATAACAATTATATTAAAATACTAAATTAATAATAGCAAATAAAAAAATTAAAGGTATTATGAACAAAATATAATAATATCGAAATAACAATAAAACATAGATAAAAGAAAAATAAATAAAACAAACAAGAAATGATTATTTAAAACAGTAAATATAAGTTAAAAATAAATAAATAAAGTAAATAAAATAATCAAAGTATAATAATAAACTATAAATAATAGAGACTTAAAAATATTATAATCAATAATCAATATGAAAATATAAATAATAATAATATATAGTAACGCAGTATGTATTATACACAAAAAAATTTAAAAATTGGTAAGTAATACTTTTTTTTGATGCCAAAAACATGTTATAAACCAAAAAGTTTGCGTAGAAATTAAATAGTTTACACGAGTGAGAGTAAATATTAGCGTGTTACCAAAAATGATGCCCAGTCTTCATATAGATACCATTATTATCATTATTATAATTATTATTATTTATTAAATAGACAAAAAAGTACTGCAATAATAACAATTAAACATACGAAAAGCAAATATACAGAATATTATAAAAGTATTCACAAAATTTATTTGTAGAGATAAAAAAATTCTTATTTTTTTTTCGCTTAATAAAATATAAATTTACTTCTAATTTTAAAGCTTCTGAAGTTTCTTGAAGTTGATGAGTTAAAGCAGAATTCATATTTGAAAGTTCAATAACTTTATTATTCAAGCTATTCAGCCCCTCCCGAAGCTCACTAACGGCTTCCTCCTATAAAGTTTTTTATTTATTATAATAAAATAAATAAACAGGAAAAGTTAATAGAAAGTAAAAATTATATATTAATATGAAGTGTTATTAGAAAAACATATTGACTTTGCTATGCTTTGCAGAATCATAAAGGATGCAAAGTTCCTTATAAGACATAAATAAGGCGTTGTGGTTCTTCTCAGCTTCATCCATTTGGCACTTTTATAAAAATGTGAGCACAATAATAATATAATAAAAACTTACAAGTAAAAGTGCCTTAAAAAATTAAACTAAGTAAAAGCACGATAGAAGGCTGAAAATTAAAGTTGAAACGTTACTATTAACTGTATTTATTTTTATTGACGCAAATAATAATAGAAATAATAATAGTAATATAAATTATAATAATAATAATACTAAGAAAGTCAATAAATATTTATTATTATCCTCGTGCAGTGATATTATATGAAGAAATATTGTTGTCTCTTTAGCTTCCTTATTTTTTTTTAAGTATAAATAATAATAGCGATTGGTGATGTATAAAGCTACAAACGTTTTTCAGCTAATCAAACATTTATAATTAGTCTACTACGAACGAACAGCGAACGGCGCACAATAAAAAGAGGTCGGTCAATCATATTTTACCCGACCGTTTAAAATATTTTAATTCGTTATTTTTATAGCTTTTTATAAATTCAACATTTTTGTATTGTAGAGAAGTATATATATGCATAACTATTAAATATTGGTTATTTATTTACAAAAAAGTTATATAAAAAATATTAGAAAATAGTAAACTACTTTTTATATATCTGAAAAAATAAGTAATACTGCAGAATATAGTAAAGACTTAAAAAAAGTTTAGAGAAATTAAAGCGTTTAGTAATTTTTATTTATTATTATTAAAAAGAAGTTTAAAATAAATAATAATAGTAATAAACTCTTAAAAAAATTACACTATACATTATTTCTTGAATTAGTTATTAAAAAAATAATAAAAGGAAGATAACCATAAAAAATAACGAAGGCGGTATTTTTTTTTATCTTCATTTAATAGAAATAATAAAGAAAAATAGTTATAACTCGCGTATTCCAGTTTAAGACTTTTATTAATCATTAATAATTCTAAACTTTCCGATAATAAAAGCAATATTCATAAATTTCCTTAATAAGGAAATATATATAAAATTTCTCAATATAATATATACAAAAAATATATATTAATATTATATTTAACTTGAAGTGAGCTGCATATCATAACTTTTCTTGCAATATTATATACAATTTAAAAATAATATAACCTTCAAGTCTTTATAAACGGCAAGTTTGGAACATAAACCTTTATTTTTCTACAAATATAATAAAAATATTAAAAACTGAAAGAAAATAAAAAAAAGAATAAATAAAATACACCTCTTTTAAAATTTTTATTTTTTTTTTCATATTAAAAATGGGCTTTTGAAAATTTTCATTCTAAAAAAAAATTAAAAAAAAAAACAATATTATAAAATTTGCGTTATCATTAAAATTTTTATAAACAAAAACAAACTTTAGACCAATAAAATTTATTCCTGCTGTTTAAAATGCATGCAATTTAACAGAGGTTACCCAATAAATAAATCTTGCCTCCTACAAAATATTGTTGAGGCTTCTTAAAGAAGACTAAAACATTAAAGATAAATCAACCAATGATTTCATTATTAAAAATTACCAACCAGATATGTAGCAATTTTTATTATTTAAAAACAAATCCTAAATTGTTGCAAATAGTTAAAATGATTCAAATTAATTTTTTTAAGTCCCGTGAAATTAAAAATCAAGCGAGTAAAGTGAATCTTTACTTCGAGCCATCAACTTTTTTAAAACTTTGTCTCATTAAAATTCGTTTATCGAAATTTTATGAAAATTAATTACGTTCAAGGTCCAAATTAATAGACAAATTGCAGTGAATTTTATAAAAAAAATTTCACGTTTTAAGGAGCCAATCGAAGAAAAAGCGCAATACGCTAAATTTTGTCGAGGATAGCCAATAGCAGTTCACCATAAATATAATAATATAGTATCAAAGAGTTTTCTTTATTAAGCCAAAAAATAAGACTCAAAAATTATATAAAACACGTGGCGGCGCATGGCATGCTTATTGATATTTATAACAACTAAGTAAACCTCTTCGAAGGAAACGCTTCGCCGCGAGGCATTGGCGCACTCTTCAGTCAATTCTTTAATCTGACTTTGATTGGCCAATATAATTTCTTCTTTTTCAGCAAGTCCCTGAGAAAATGTTAAGGAAAAAAAAATGTCATTATAAATTTTGAAATTTATTATTGAAAAAAGTTCAAAAGCAATTACCAAATTATAAAGTAAATACTTTTTTTTTTCACTATTAATGCAGCATTAGAAAGAAAAAAAGAAAAGTAATTATAATAAAACTTCATTAAGTTTGTTATTTTCGATTTCCAAATTAAATAGTGTTTGTTGAGATTCCTTGTTGACATTAATAAGCTCCTGAACGGTTTTTTTTTCAGTTTCATAAAGCCGCTTCGAAAATAAAATAGTGAATATATTAAAAAATATACAGAAGAATCAAAATATATAAATTTTATATCAAAATTTATATTCATCCATAAAAATAATAATAACTTTCAGTTTTTCATATTTTTTAAAAACTTCTGACAATTTACTCTCATTGGTTTCCATTTTTTGGGTAAGGCTTAAACTTTCAGGACTTTTATTTGGGGTATCCTTACAATTTACAAGTATTTCATGAGTTTTTATTATAAATATAAATAAATAAACTCTTTATCTATAAAATAATATAATAGTATAAAATTTATTTTATAAAAGAAATCTATCCATATTCACAACAAACGAATCAAAAAAGCACTTTAACATATAACTGGTTCAATATTTCTTATAAAATGAGCAATACTATAATAATTATAAGTATTATCGTAAGAAGTGCTATATAAAATTCTAATAAATATTATAGTGATTAATATTAATACATTAAAAAATATATAAGTACGAAAAGAACGTATAAATAGTATTATCCCTGATAAATTAACAAAAACTATTTATGTTTAATAGAAATTATTAATAGATGCTATAAAAAATATATATTTACTATAAAATATTAAAAAATAAAAAAAAAACAGTAAAAAGAAATTATATTTTTATAAGTTATAAAGTACACCTTAAAATATAAGAAATAATATAAAGTAAAATAAAGATATTTATATAATAAATAAATAAAACTAAAAAAAGTAAAAAATAAGATTTGTATTATAAATATTATATTAATTAATATTTTTACATAAAAAATAAAATTAATAGTGAAAAAAGTAAATAGGAAATTTAATATATAATTATTAATAGAAAAAAATAATACATACAATGAAGTAAGTGAGGAAAATATATTAAAATAGGAAAGCGTATATAATAAAAGTAAACTTGTATATGGAAAAATGAAAAAAGAAAATTTAAATAATATAAAATAAATAAAATAAAAGCAAGACTAATAAGTAAAACATACATAAGTATTTTGCATAAAATAAGAGAGAAGAAAAAATTATATATAAATAATAAATTGTGAAAAAAATTATAAATTATAATTAAAAATATTATACTGTTATAGTTGAAAAGTATTATAAATAATTAATTTATATAATAATGAATAAATGAAAAATAAGTAAAATAAAAGTTAAAATAAATTTATTAATAAATTTAATATAAAGAAAAATATATTTATGAAAAAAAAAAAATGTTAATACGTACTTTTAAGTAATAATAAGAAGTAGAAAAAATCACAACTAATTTATACGTATTTAAGGAAAAAATTTTATGTATAAATAGTTTAACTATAAGAAGTAAATAAACTTATAAATATTAATATTAAGAAAAATATAATAATAAAAAGTAAAATATATGTTATTTAAAATAAAATTCAAGAATAAAATATTTAAAGAACGCATTTAAGTATAATAATTAAATAAGTTAATGAAAAATTATAAAAAAAAACAAATCATAAAGAATTTTATAATAAAATTTCAGAAAAAATTTTATTAATACCAAAAATAGAAAGAGAAAATACAAGAATAATAAGTAAAACATAAATAATTTATAAAAAAAATATATTTACAAAGAAAAAGTAATAATAATGAAAAGATTTTATAAAAAAGGTATAATAAAAAGTAAAAAATATTATCTAAAAAGTAATAAGATATAAGAAGACACAAAAAGAACTCATAAAAAAATTAATAAGATATTAAAATATAATAAAATTTAAGAATAAATTAATAAATAAGAAAAAAAATAAACAAAAAACATAAAAAATAAAAGAAAATAATATAAATATTATCAAAAAGTAAAAAAATAATAAAATTATAAAATCATAAAAAAAGTTAGTAAGCACCGTTGAGTGCGTTTTTTCACTACTTTTGTTAAGTTTTAGAAGAACAGATTTTTGCTTCTTCACAATATTTTCAAAATATTTTCGCTTATCGTAATTCTGAACAACTTGTTTCTGAAGTGTTTCTCTCTCCCGATCAAACTAAAATGAATAAAAATATATAATATAAAGACAATAAAAATATGAGTTTATGTCACTTTAAAAAAAAGTATTCTTTCTATGCTTAAAAAAGGAAATAAAAAATACTTGTTATAAAGTTTCTATAATCAATAATAATAATAATAATAAAATAAAAATAATATTTATATCAAATGTTGATATAAAAATATTAAAAAATTTAAATTTATAAATATAAAAAAGTTTTCATAAAAAATATAACATTATTCTTTAATATTCTACAAACGTAGTACATTGAAAGTTCTATATGAAAAGTTAAAATTATACTAAAAGACATTTAAAAAGTTGCTTTAGAGGAAAAAGTTTTATAAAAAAATAATCGTACATAAGTAAATATTAATAAAACTTAATAACTTTATAATAATATAAAAATAAAAATAGAAAAAATATTAAAAAATATATAAAAATTAAAAAAGTTTTAATAATATAAAAAAGTTTGCATTACAAAAATAATAATTACTATTGTAAGTTACTCCTCATATTTATATATACATAATGCACGACAGAAAATTACATAAAATAATTAAAAAGAAAAAAAAGTTTGCTTATAAGAAAATTATAATATTAAAAGTTAAAATAAATAAAAAAAGCTTATTATAAATATTTATAATAGTCTTAAAAAAATAAATATAATAATATATTTTGAAGAAGTATACTAGAAACAACTGTTAAGTTTATTCAGAGACTAAATTGTGTAATTTAAAATAATATAAAAAATAAAACCAGTAAACGCGAATTAATATTGATTACACAAATACTTAAAAAAAAAAAAGTAAATTTGGTATAAATATTTTATAAAAAAGTTTACTTTTACATAAATTATTATAATAAAAGTAAACATTTTAAGTAGAACTAATATAAATATATATTATAGATAAAAATATTAGCGAAAATATAAACTTTTCATTGTATAGAAAGGAATAAATAATACCCATTATTCTACATTTATGAATATTATTAATAATAGAAACGAATATTACTAATTATTGAAATAGTAAACATCATAAGCAAGACAAACTTCTTAGTTTTAAAAAAATAAAATATTTATACATAAAAAGTTTCATTAATATAAACATACATAAAAGTTTAATTATAATAATAAATAAAACATTAACTTAAGTAGTACGATAGAAAAATTTAGTACATTAAAAATATTTAAATAATATAAATATTAATATTATTTAAAAATATATTGATAAAATAAATAAAAATAAAAAATAGCTCTTAAAAAAAAATTTGTATTAAAAAAATCGTTTAAGATCAATTACAATAATATAGAAATAGTATAAAGTAAATTAATATCAGTTTACTTTATATATAATAATAATTATAATTATTGCTACTGAAAACATTATTATGAAAGTCAAAACATTCTTTTAAAAAAAAATTATTTTGTAGTAATTACGAATATTAAAAATAATAAAGTAAAAGTAATATAAAAGAAGTAGGAAAAAAAAACAATAAATAAAGAAATATATAAAAAAGAAGTTATATGTCTACAAGACAACAAAATAAAAAAAAGTAATAAGTAAATTATTAGAAAGTAAAAGAATTATATATTAGTATTATAAATATTTATAGAAATAAACATGAAAGTTTAAAAGTAAAACAGTTAATAATATATAAAAAAACAAGGCAAGTCTGCGAAGGTTATAGAAAGTAAATATTAAAAATTTATTTATTAAATATAAACACAAAGAAAGTTTAATAAAACTCACATAAAGTAATCAAATAACAAAACAAAACAAAAGATAT